TGTGTGTGGTGTGTGTGTGTGTGTGTGTGTGTGTGTGTGTGGTGTGTTGTGTGTGTGTGTGTGTGTGTGTCAGCCTGCATGCGCTGACCGTTAGCATCCTGAGTGCTAACAGTAACAGGAGGTACGTCACTCGAACAGAAACTGGGCGACTCCTCTCAGATCAAGATGGATTTACAGGAACATATGGGTCACGGTGAAAAGATGAAGTCAAACAGTTAAGGTTTATTTTTGGGAACGTCAATCATATGACAAGTAAGAGATACAGACATGCAAGACATGACCAACACATGTAGGTGGGAGCACTGCAGATAGAGATAGAAAATGACGACAATACACCAGAAAAGGACCAGAAAGAATGGATGACTACTGGACCCCCTAAAGGACCACAAAGGGACGAAATATGACTATAAATAGGACACACAACAACAGAAAAGACACGTTAATAACCACAAAGATACAAGAAACAACCAAAAGTAACGTAAAACATCCACAAAGAGACACTAATAACTTAGATACCAAATACACAGGGACGAAGAAACCACTGCAAAACCATTAAAGAGACACACAATCACTAAGACAGAAAGTCAGGAGCTCAGAGAAACTAACAGAGCAACCACAAAGAGACGGACAGTTAGGAAACGACTTCCAGGACACGAAAACACCATCGCAGAGAGACACAGGAGACACTGTGAATAACCAGAAAGAGGATTTTAATGGAGGCAAAAGAACCGGAAAATATGCAATATGCCCCTTCAGACGGAAAACACCTGCAACATGAAACAGAATGACCTCTTAGAGACTTCGAATGTCAGCAAGACACACTGAAACCAGAAGAGAGGCCAAAACCAGACAGGAAAGGTTGAAAAAGAGATGGTAAAACGTCTCTGAAGGACCTCTAAACAACCGGAAAGACCAAATGACAAAGAACACCACCACAAAGAGACGCGAGGTGACTTCAGATACGATGCCAAAAGACAGGAAAAGTGTCGTCAAAATAACGACAGAAATGCAAAAATGACTAGAAAGAGAGACGAACCAAGAGTGTGTGTGTGTGTGTGTGTGTGTGTGTGTGTGTGTGTGTGTGTGTGTGTGTGTGTGAAAACGGAAATAAATAAAAAAACAATAAATAAAGGGTCAATTATCTCTCGATCTATAGGTGACAGATACAAACAGACACCAGAGTCACAAGGCACACACACACACACACACACACACACACACACACACACACACACACACACACACACACACACACACACACACACACACACACACACACACACACACACACACACACACACACACACACACACACCCACACACACACACACAGTGTTGTACCGCAGAGCATCCATGAATGAAGTGTGGGGGTTAGATTATGTCTGAGCAATGGAGAATAAAACTATGTGTGTGTGTGTGTGTGTGTGTGTGTGTGTGTGTGTGTGTGTGTGTGTGTGTGTGTGTGTGTGTGGCCGGCCTAGCATTACCATCCTTGTGGGGACCTACTTCTGTTTACACAGTCACATGTGGGGACTCGCCTCCCTTTAGGGTGAAGACTTGGTTAGGGTTAGGCATGTGTTGGTTATGGTTAAGGTTAGGATAAGTCTCCGGGAAATGCATGTAAGTCAATGTAATGTCCCCTGAAGTGATGTATACATGGTATGTGTGTGTGTGCGTGCGTGTGTGTGTGTGCGTGTGTGTGTTTGTATGTGTGTTGCCTCATATCCATAATCCCTCCCCTTTATAAATGATTCATGGGAATATAACTGTGCTCATATTTTATATTAAATCATACACAGATAATAAATGAAGACAGTATATTAAAAAAATAATATAAATAATAATAATAATAATAATAATAATAATAATAATAATAATAATAATAATAATAATAATAATAATAATAATAATATAACAGGTGAAAAATAATGTCATGACTTATCTAAAAAAAAAAAAAAATAATAATTCAATAAAATAATAATATAATAGTAATAACTGTCATTTGTTTTGTTTCTAAAATGTCTGTAAACAAATAAAATCATGCATATACATTATTAATAACAACACACACACACACACACACACACACACACACACACACACACACAGCACACACACAGCACACACACACACACACACACCACACACACATCACACGAGCACACACACACACAATATCAACACACCAGCTAAATCCAGTATTTAGGGGGATTAGGCTACTAATACTGCTTCACTTCCCCCCTCTCTTTTATGGAGTCTGTTAACCAGTGGAACCACAATCCTTAACCCCCCTCCACTGCTTTCTCTCCATCACTTTGAAGATTTTGTGGTTTGACCTACATTCCTTCATCTCTGCTCCCCGTCTCCCTGTTATACCTCCTCCTCCTTCTCCGACCCCGTCTGTGGATCAAACCATCTGCTCCTCAGCCTGCTGAACATACGGAGCGTACACCATCTGGGAGAACATGAGGGGGGTGCATTGATCCGATTTGGAAGGAACATATGGGAATTCCTACAGTGGTTGTGTGTTCATTACACTATACTGTATGGACACATTCTCAAAATACAATCTAAATTCAATGTATTGATTGAAGGGACTCCTTTAAAGTAGAGACACTACATCGTGATATACACCTGAACATCAGCAGAGAGGACTCTTTAAAGTAGAGACTCTACATACTGATATACACCTGAACATCAGCAGGAGAGGACTCTTTAAAGTAGAGACACCTACAATACTGATATACACCTGAACATCAGCAGAGAGGGACTCTTAAAGTAGAGACACTCTACATACTGATATACACCTGAACATCATCAGGAGAGGACTCTTTAAAGTAGAGTCACTACATACTGATATACACCTGAACTCAGCAGTGAGAGGACTCTTTAAAGTAGAGACACTACATACTGATATACACCTGAACATCAGCAGGAGAGGACTCTTTAAAGTAGAGAGACAACTATAGACTGATATGACAACCTGAACCATCAGCAGGAGAGGACTCTTTAAAGTAGAGACAACTACACACTGATATACACCTGAAACATCAGCAGGAGAGGACTCTTTAAAGTAGAGCCACTACATACTGATATAACCGTGAACATCAGCAGGAGAGGACTCTTTAAGTAAGAGTCCTACATACTGATATACACCTGAACATCAGCAGGAGAGGGACTCTTTAAAGTAGAGACACTACATACTGATATACACCTGAACATCAGCAGGAGAGGACTCTTTAAAATAGAGACACTACATACTGATATACACCTGAACATCAGCAGGAGAGGACTCTTTAAAGCAGATTTAATGTGATTGTATGAAAGTGTTTTTCTGTTCCCTCCTAATCCCTTTCCTCTGTTTTCTCTGCAGGCTGTCCTCCGTTTGAACCCTCTGTGAATGAGAATCAGCATTTGGTGTTTATGCAACCCATGGAAGCAGTGGGACGTTTTAAATGGATACCAGGACTCCTACAGGAATGTAAATGTACAGTTATGAGATAAATCCTGCATATTTTGACCTTAAAATCCACCGAAAACACCTGAGAAACACCTCCGAAGGTCCTGCAGAGACGAGGCGTTCATGGGCTCTAACGCGAGATAATCACACTTTGACAGAAAAAGTAACCGCCCCCAACAAGGGGGTGCAATAAGGGGGTGGTTTTGCCCCCCAGATTGGATCCCCATCAGCACTCCCCGAGGAGCAGCATTGAGGAGTGCCAAACCGTCCTGGAGGTCCCGCCCCCCGGGAGGAACGCCTGCCCCCAGCATGCAGGGAAGGTACGGAGAATAAAACCGGCTTTATGCGTTATTTAATGTTTGTTGTTTTTAATGTTTTTTTCTTTTTATTATTTATTATTATTATTATTATTATTATTATTATTTATTTTTCTTTATTATTATTATTTTAATTATTTGAGATTGTAATATTACTATTTAGTTAATATTATTATTATAATATTTTTTTTCCTTTATTCATATTTTAATTATTTTAGTTCTTGTTATTATTATTATTTTAAATGTATTTTATTAAATTATGTATTATTACATGTAACCTGTATCCCGTCCCCCTGCAGGTGGCGGAGGTGTACTGCTCTTCCTGTGAGTGTGTGTTGTGTGAGGAGTGTGTGCAGGAGCACGACCAGCAGCACGACCAGCAGCCCCTCGAGCTGATCCTGGAGCAGCAGCGCAGCGTCCTGCAGGAACAGCAGGGGGCCGCTCACAGCAGGTGGGCAGCACTCTATACACTCCTATCTCTATAGACAAATACACTCTATACACTCCTATCTCTATAAATACAAATACATCGTAAAAAGTCTCTCACCTCTGGATTTTCTGATGCATGAAATAAAACAGTTTTGACTCATATGTATCTCCCTGCAGACTCCCTGAGATCTCGGACGCGTTGTCTTTTGTCCGGGAGATCCTTCAGCAGCTGACCAATCAGAGAGCTTCTATCGACGAGGACATCCAATCGAGTTTCGAGGATCTTCACAAGCAGCTGGACGTCAGAAAGAGCGTCCTGCTGATGGAGCTGGAGGTCACCTACGGCCTGAAGCAGAAGGTGAAAACACACCAGATATAACGTGACTCTATGGGTTAATTATACATATTATATACGTTTTTATACATACTATGACTTAGATTCATTTATAAATATTTGTAGGCTTTTTTTGTTTTGTTTTTCTTGACCCACTAGAAATATATTCTTTAAAATTCGAGATTTTTTCCACTTTTGTCATTGTGTTTTTCAAGATACAATACTTTGCCTTCTTGCAAGATATATATTTTTTTAAAGTCATACTTTCCTATTTCTTTTTTCCAGACTTTGCTGTCACTTTTGAAAAATATATATTTGAATTTTTCGTCATATTTTTGAATTTTCAACATTTGTATTCATATTTATAGCTTTTTCCATCATATCTTTCTGGAAATTAGATACTACGACTTATCATATTTTTTTACCTTTTATGACTTTGAATGAAATATAGTACTAAGTACTTTTTTAAATGACGAAATACTATGACTTTTTAGATTTTAAATAATCATATTTTTAAATAATTTAAAGAATTTCGGTCATGGTTTTGGGTTTATGTTGCCATGTGTTCTCCTTCCTGTCTTTAGTTCCCCTCCGCTTTAGAATAAGGCTCGCTTTTTGTTAAAACTTTGAAACCTGCCTCCTGTCTCTGTACTGAATTTGGTATTATTCCCCGACCCTGACAGTTTTCTATCCTATTTTTCGTCATATACTTCCCCATGTGTGTGCAGGTGCTCCAGGCCCAGGTGGAGAGCCTGGTCCTGGGGGAGGGGGCTCTCTCGGCCTCCCTCTCCCAGGCGGAGGAGGCCCTCTCTGGGGAGGCGTGTGCCGCCGGGCTGCAGGCGGAGCAGCAGCTGCAGCAGAGACTCGGGGATCTGACCGGCCTCCGCCTGACCTGTGAGCCGCAGGAGAACGACCAGCTGGACCTCATCCTGGAGACCGACGGCATGCGCAAGAGCATCCACAACCTGGGCACCATCGTCACCACCAGGTGAGACAAAACATGCAGGGTAGAGAAGCGTTTTAGAATCACACTTTCAGAGGTGGAGGAGGATTATAAATACAAGTAGGAAGGCTTGAAAGTCCGGAAGAGCGTCCTCCATCCATTCTTTTTTGAGTGTTGAGTTTGAATGTTTGAGATTTCTTTTAAATATATTTGAAAACTTAGGGTTAGGGTTAGGTTAGACCCTAACCCTAACCCGCCAGCCAATTGGACCGCGAATGTTCTGTAGTGATGTCACTATGTTCCATAACTTTGGGATTTTAGCCCCTGCAGACCATTTACATGCACACAAACCTATAGAACACACTACAGGAGAGGGAAAGGTTTTCTAACGTAGTATTGTCTTGTAAATGTAAAAAATGGCACCGTTAAAACGTTAAATACTTGATAAAATGCAAATGTTCTTACCATGTGACCATCCTCATCTTCCTCAGCGCGGTGGCGAGCCAGAGCGAGGCCATGGGTGCCGGTTTGGAGCAGTGCATTGTGGGACATCCTGCCTCGGTGACCATTGTGACGAGAGACAAGTCGGGGGGAGCGTGCAAGAGCGGAAACGCCATCATGTCCGCCGAGGTCAGCTTTTTTTACACTTAAAATGTTATGCAATTCTGTGGAAACACCAACATATATATTTAGTAGAAAATATACATGTTGAATTACAAAATGTACAGTAACAAATATAAAGCAAGTTATTATATATACTAGGGCTGTCAAGTTAACGCGTTAACGCACATTTTTTTTAACGCCACTAATTATTTTACGTGCGATTAACGTATGTGTATTTGTCCTCGGCCCGCCCCGTAGTTTCAGAGCCCAAAGGCTTGACGTTGTTGTTGTTGTTGTTAGTTGGAAGTTGGGAGATTCTAGCGAGAGATATGGATAGAAAACAAGGTGTTTTAAACAGCAAGCCAAGCTCACAGCTGATGCCGACAGCCCCGCTCCTGCCGCTCGCTTGCAGCAGACCACGCTTGAAAGTTTGCCGGGGAGACGCCTGGACAACAACAGATAGCTAAATGGGAGGCTACAGCTTAACACTGTGGAGGACGAGAGGCTGCGTTAGATGATTGGGATCGCATCCAACGTGTCGACTGCACATCACTGCGCATTATTTTGACCCCTGTGGGAACTTCAGTCTCATGCTTTGACTGTTATGAAGACAGAGGAGCGGCATCTCGCCGACAACTGTAAACAGGCTTGTCTGTTTGAGCAACTGGCTCAGTGCAGAGAGAGAGAGAGAGAGAGGGGGGGGGAGAGGGAGAAGAGGAAGAGAGATAGGTAGACGAGAGATAGAGAGCTAGATATAGAGAGAAGAGCGAATATCGCTGCTGCTCGAGAGAGAGAATGGTCTACGTCCTTTTTTTCTCTCTTTCTCGTCTCCTCTCTCTCTCGCGCTTCCGCTCTCTCTCTCTCTCTCTCTCTCTCTCTCTTCTCTCTCTCTTCTCCTCTTCTCTCCCTCTCTCGCTCTCTCTCTCTCTCTCTTTCCTCTTTTTCTCTCTCCTCGTTCTCTCTCTCTCTCTCTCTCTCGCTCTCGCGCTCTCTCCTTCTCTCTGCTCTCCTCTCTCTTAGAGCTCTCTCTCTCTCTCGTACTCGTAGTTCCAGGTTGTTGTATTGAGAATATTCAGGAGAATATTTGTCATTGTTCCATAATAATATAATATATATATATGATAATAAACAAACATTTGCATGAAGCATATTTGTCCACTCATACGTTAATAAGAGTATTAAAAACTAGAAAAATATTCCTCTAAGGTACATTTAGAACAGATAAAAAATGTGCGATTCATTTGCAATTAATCGCGATTAACTATGGACATCATGCGATTAATCGCGATTAAATATTTGAATCGACTGACAGCCCTTATACATAAGTATGTGAGGCATGGAATATTAATAATTGAATTGAATATAAATGTAAAATGTAGTGTGATTTATATATATATATATATATAACCTGACGTGTGGGTGTGATCCAGGTCTTCACCCCGGACGGCAGCATCGTGGACGGGGAGATTTTGGACCACAAGAATGGGACGTACGAGTTTGTTTACACGGTGCCGAAGGAGGGCGACTTCTCATTGGCTCTCCGTCTGTACGACCAGCATATCAAAGGAAGCCCCTTCAGGCTCACCGTCAACAAGTTCCTGGAGGCCGATGTGGAGGTGGGTGGTCATATTTAAAAAGGTTTTATTGGCCTAAGCACAAAGCTACAGAGTAGAAATGGCAATGAAATTCTTCTGACCTGAGCTCCTCCAACAATGCAACATATAATACAATACAAAAATACAAATACAAAAAAAGATAATAGCACAAGAAGTCTATATACATGTAAATAGAATATGATATATACAAGAACAGAATGTCAAATTAAATATTGCGTCCATCTGCAGGTGTCTCCCTCCACCACCACAGCCACCAACTCCGCAGCCTACGCCACCCCCTCCACGGGCTCCTCTGAGGGGGCAAAGAGACGAGGGAAGTCCCCCGGCCAGAAGAAGAAAGGCTCCAAGAGGGCGAGCAGCGCCTTGGGGACCCCGCGACGCAAGACCCAGAACCCCATTGAGGACGACCTGATCTTCAGGATCGGTACATCATCACATTACAGCAAATACAAAATGTGTAGAGTACATTTCCGGACATTTTTAGGCTTGAACTTACGTTTTCTGCAGGATCGAAGGGGAGGAATAAAGGAGAGTTCACCAACCTGCAAGGAGTGGCTGCTTCCTCCAGTGGCAGGATACTGATAGCTGACAGCAACAATCAGTGTGTCCAGGTAAAGCACCTCCAACTAATATATACAAATGTTGTACTTTAAAAAGGTTAAGCTCATTCGTCTAGTGGGTAGAAGGGGGTATCATGCACCCCCCTGAACATTTTACATTTGATGCTAAAGCACCAGGACTTGAGGCTAATCCACTACCTCTTAAAAAGGTTTATAAGTAAAGGTATGCATTTAGTCTATATGATTTATAACCAATGTTTTTCCTGTCCAGATTTTCTCCAATGAGGGGGAATTTAAGAGTCGTTTTGGTGTTCGGGGGCGCTCTCCAGGCCAGCTGCAGCGTCCCACCGGAGTGGCCGTGCATCCCACCGGTGATATCATCATCGCCGACTACGACAACAAGTGGGTCAGCATCTTCTCCAGCGAGGGGAAGTACAAGGTAAGTGGCTTTGAGCTCTGTAGGAAGGAATAGGGACTTTAGGACTGGATTATCTGACGTACAGAAAATGTGTTAAAACTCTTGTGTTTTGTTGAATGTATTTTCCTTCTCGTTGGTCGTATGTTCTGTCCATCTAGACAAAGCTTGGCTCCGGTAGACTGATGGGGCCAAAGGGTGTGACGGTGGACCAGGAAGGTCACGTGATCGTGGTTGACAACAAAGCGTGCACCGTCTTCATCTTCCAGCTGACCGGCAAGCTCGTCTCCAAGTTCGGAAGTCGAGGAAACGGTGACAAGCAGTTTGCAGGTAGAGTTTCAAAGAGATAGTCTGGAAGTTAATGAAAGGGCCACAACACAATGAGGCCAATGATTAACGGTTCATAGACTTATGATCTTTCGAATGTTTAACTCGACTGTTTAACGACTACTTCGTTTGTCCAAGAACTGACTTTCTAATAGAATTAGTTTTTCGAACAGTTGACCTCTTAGCTACTTAAAGAAGTTGAGTTGTAAGATGAAGTATACACATTAGAAGTACTTGTTGTGGCAGATAAAGTCTTTAAAATGCAAAACATGGAAGCAGTTAGTGTTCTGAGTGATGAGATCTGAATGCAGGTGAGGTTCCCCGCTGACGACTAATAACTGAAAGCATTTTAAATGCAAGATAAAGTTTGAACTGAAAGCACAATCTGTGTTTCTGTTCAAAGGTCCGCACTTTGCAGCAGTGAACAAGAACAACGAGATCATCGTGACTGACTTCCACAACCACTCAGTGAAGGTAAAGCCTTCATTACTGCAGACTACCTGAACGATCCCTTTAGTTTTAAAGTTTGTTGCTCAAGAACACTTTGAATTTGGATCTTGATCTCTTTTTTCTGTCTCTATCAGGTTTTCACTCCGGAGGGCGAGCTGGTGATGAAATTTGGCTCTAATGGTGAGGGAAACGGCCAGTTCAACGCTCCCACTGGTGTAGCTGTGGACGTCAATGGGAACATCATCGTAGCCGACTGGGGAAACAGCAGAATACAGGTACAGAACGTAACAACAAGAAGCACTTACTTTGGGAGTTTGTGCAGAATCCGACTTCATTTTCTCCCTCTGTTGAAACATTTCCAGGTGTTTGACGGTAGCGGATCCTTTCTATCCTACATCAACACGTCCGCGGACCCTCTGTACGGACCCCAGGGTCTGGCTTTGACCTCAGACGGACATGTGGTCGTGGCAGACTCTGGAAACCACTGCTTCAAAGTCTACCGCTACCTGCAATGATGGAGGATTGGAGGAAAGGCGGTTGGAGGGAGTGGTTGTTGGAGTGAAGGGATATGGTGCACGTCGTCACATTTCTAGGAATAATTGCATGAACCTCTACCATCACATTGGAAGAAGGGATGGGTATACAAAAGGAAGAAGCAAAGAAGAAGGATTACCCATCATTACATCAACAGACCAAAACAAAACTATGATCTACTTTTCTCATCTTTAAAGATTAGGATAAAGTTCCATCATCAGCTATCGTGTGAAACAGTGAATCACAGATAACGGTGGGACAACGATTGGTGTTTGAACTACATATTCCTAACGTTTGAAGAGAGATGAAGACAGAGGGGGAATGGAAAGATGGTGGATTCAAGGGGTTTGCTGCCCTCGTGCAAAATCGGGAAATATCGCAGAATCACGCAAGGATGGAGTAAAAACAGTTATGCAACAACTGATTCAGGATGTCACTCTCTATAAGTCCCTCTTTCTCCCAGTGTGGCATTATTGGAAAAGGAAAATGGAGGAAGAACAAAAACAGGTTGCAAGAGGAGGTGAAAAACGTCTTGGAAACCACAAACTTCCTAAACCCAAAATGGAGAAGAGGATCAAAGAAGTATCAAAGCTGTGAGTGTATAAATAAAGGCCTCTGCGTTGAAGGGAATTGATCGGAAGATTAAAGGTTTTCTAATGTTCTGCCTTGTGATGTATGCAATAGACAAATAATAGCCGGTAAGCTAAAAGAGGTCTACGTCTTAGTTTGACATCCAGGTCATTACCACAAATGAAGAAAACGGTTCTGACGCTGTAGATTACATTTGGGAAACACCATCAACTCTAACATGTTGAAGCTAACATTAGCTAGCAACTTTTAGAGCTTGTCAGGTCGCCCTTGAGCAAAGCACTTCCAGCAGAAAAAGACTAGTGAACGTTAAAATCCGTAAATATGCAACAAGAAATCACTTGAGAAGGGAATCCTCGTCCAGCCAAGTTAGAATGGACTATAATGTTGACTAAAGATTCACTTGCGATGGTGATGATAAAATATTGTTTGACTAAGACACTAGGCCTCTTTTAGCCTGTTGTCCATTGTTCGTACATTAGGATTGTCTGATTATGGAATGTTTAAATTTAGTTTCTTGTCATATGCTAGTAATCTTTACAAGTCCTAGGCAATAGATTCATCGTTATAAAGGATTGCTTGACTCTGATGCTGATTGTCTGTATGACTGATTCAATTGGTTGATTGACACGATAGATTTGACGGGCACCACGGTCTTGTCTGTGCTTGGTTTGAGTGGTAATATATTTTTTCCATGAGAAATCTGTTGGAGATGGAGAAAAAGAAGGTCTATCAATCTATGCTATATATTCGTGAGAACACATTTAAATAATATCGTGTAAAAAGTTGAAAAACAATTAACATATACAATCTAATTTCAATAGCCAAAAACAAGAAGATTCTTTCGTTCTTTCATCTTTCATAAAACAATGGCTCAGTGTCCGATCAGCATGCCTCTGTATTATGTGATTGTCTTCATCAAATTTACTGGTTTAAACTGTAGGATCCCATTTTATAAAAACAGTTAATAAATTCCTGAAATTACAGTAAAGGACGCAAGACCAATGTTACGTTGCAAAAGCATTTAAAAAAGAGTTTTGGTAAAGTGCTATTCAATAGAAGTGATACAAAAAGCATTTACATTGATTGTTAAATAGGCAATAAAAGCATTTAAGTTATTCACATGAGCATTCAGTTATACCTTTAATATACAGAACATGTTTGGCTAACAGAGGTTTGCGGTAGAAATTCACGCGTGATCGAATAGAACACTTTATGTTAGTTATTGCTTCATAATATTTATTTATCTATTTATTTATTTATCTATTTTGCCATTTATATCTTTCTCTTTTTTTCTTTCTCCATTTGATTGTGTTCCACCATGTGCATTGAAATTCTCAAGTGCCCATTATATTTCTTCTTTTTGTATATTTTGTCTGTTATGTTGAATCAAAATATGATTGTTGGTATTTGATACATTTTATACTGACTACATGTGAGCGGACAAATCAGCGTTTCAAATTTTGTTTTATTTTTATTTGTCAGATGAAAGTCGTCATTCTGTGTTGGGAAAATAATGAAGCTAGCCAATAAGAAAACAACTTGTTAGCATTTCATTTCTGATTGAAATCAATAGACATGTTTGGCAAAAAGCTAATAAGTTAGCTGTTGCTCAGAATACAGCAGAGTACAAAGGCCAAACTTATAAACTACAATCTGTCCAAGTAAGGACATTTATTTTGAAGATTTAATACTTTAGATTTTGTAAGAAAAAGTCCATTTAGTTATACGCTAACTTGATACTTTTTGGCTTTTTATGGCCCTTGGTTTCAATGCTGAATGGTAACAATTCTCTTTCGTGGATAGCTACAACAAAACATGTGCTATGTTCAATAAGACAATTTTGATTTAAATGAACTGTCAGAGTCCCAAAAAGGATTTCATGTATTTTCCATTCTCTGACTTTGTTTTAGCGCCCAATAGTGCTGCTGAATCTCAAATAATGCTGATCAACAGCTGGGAGGAGATTTCTGGTGTTTCTAAAAGTAACCTGAGCCTTGTTTGCTGGAGATTCAGCCTTACTGTCAGTAAAACATGAATGTCGTTTCAAAGTTGATTTGATGGAATTGCCTTCTCAGTAATCTTGAAATGTAATGCAAAAATGACTAAGAGATGGTTGATGACCATTTCAAACACAACTCAAACGAGTACACATCCATTTGTGGTAACTTCGGAACAATACATTCCTATTCCTACAGTATGTGGATTGGGTGTGTATCATTGTTGGATTTCCACCACTCAAGGAAAACTATGGTAGACCAATTAAGGTTTTTCTTTTCTCTCATATTGATATGTGGTGTTTTGAAACACAGTCCTTAAACTAATGAAATCTTTCATTATCACATGCCTGCTCTCTCTCTCTATATATATTTACTATATGTCATGTCTGTTAACTGTTATGGACTGTCTCTAATATTCACTCCCACACTCAACTCTACAATAAAGCATTGATTCCTAAATAACCTCCATACTTGAATGTGTCATCTTTTTTAGGACCTTGAAAACGTGAAACACACATTATGCTCATTGTTAAATGATCAGAAACAACACTTTAGAGAGATATGAATAATGATATGCATTTAATATCAAACCACCAGGATCACACCATTAATGAACTTCTGGATAACTCACATAACAAATCATAAACACAAACACTACATTATACACACAGTAGTCGTTGTTTATTCTGTCATTTGCATGCCCAATAGCTGCTGAATGTGATCTGCATGCATTTGGAAACAATCGTTTTGCATTTTTCCACCTGTCTGAGCACAGGCATTTTCTATTATAAATATCATGTCAAATACACCTGGAAAGTTCCTAGAAATTCAATATAAATCACCCCGAACATGTGACACTGATTTACAACCCATACAACTACTCAACACACAATATAAGATCCAACTACAAAATACATTTGACATTACCAAAACCTTCAAAGTGCTCTTCAACTATTAAGCATTGTACTATTGTTTGAAAATAAAAAGTTAAAAACGATGTGGTAGAACGCTTCTCTTCTCCTTCTCGAAACCTGCCACATTACCCACAATGCAACTCAACTAAGAGTATAGGAGTTATTTCTAACTCGAAACAAGTAATTAATGCAACCACCACCAACTCAAGTGAAATTTCTCAGGCTGATTATAACATATTGTGTGTCTAAACACAACGTACATGATTAATAAATATATATGCAGTATTCAACAACCCATTATTCCAATGGTCCAATATTCCTACGGCCCATTATTCCTACAAACGATTATTCCTACGTCCCATTATTCCAATGGTCCAATATTCCAATGATGCATTACTCCATCAGCCCATTATTCCATTAGCCTATTATTCCATCAGCCCATTATTCCATTAGCCTATTATTCCATCAGCCCATTATTCCATTAGCCTATTATTCCATCAGCCCATTATTCCATTAGCCTATTATTCCATCAGCCTATTATTCCTATGAACCATTATCCCATTATGACTTTATTTCATTAAGAGGGGAATTATTAGTAGGGCACATTTTATAAAGTAAAACAAAACTTTAAAATCACTTAAGCTTGTGTTAGACCTTATTTTCAGCTGTTCTATCCAAAACCATTGACTTTGAGTTGAGGGAACTAAAAGTCTAAATGCTTAAATGCTGACTAATTTCAGTGTTTCTGGACTCATTCCTACACTACTCTTTCAAGAACCTCCTTAACAATGAAAATACCACCTTGCAACAACATCAGTTTTTATTAATCCATCATTTTAATTAGCAAACTAAGATACTTTATTAAAGTTGTACACAATTCAAATTGTATTCCACAGAAGTCTTGGTGTGAATTTTGAGTTGATATATCTATAATCTGAATTTCTCATTTAGTCCAAATTAATAAAGGGTACGCTAGGTTAATAGACACTATCTTTCCTCGTCATCCATGCCTTTCCTCAGCAACACAACAGTTTCCCTTCCCTGTGTAGATACAGCAGTGGTAACACCAGACTGGCGGGCACGTTAAACACTCCTAAACACGACATAATTATACAGCTGTGATTTTCACTCAGGACACCCATGGCATAGACAGTCAGAGAAATAATCAGCCCTGCAAACCACAGCCACAGCATTCCTGTTATGGCCAATATGGTAAAGAAAGCCCTCTGCTTTGATTGGTCAACCTTCTTCTTCTCGCCGCCTTTGTCCCCCGGCCCTGGGCGAATCAGACCACAGAGACTAGAAAGGCTGCAAAAGGACACGACTACTGAGGCGAAGACTAAATGGCCTAACATTGGGGCAATTGGCAAACCAGGCAGGTAATGAGCTGTGACTCCCATCATTCCAATGCTTAGCAGCCAAACGCACGCAATGCTGATGTTTCTGATCCTCGCCCCACGCTCATGTTTCAGCCCCAGGTAGATGAGGGGGTGAACAACAGCCAGGTATCGCTCCACACAAGTGAGAACGTTGAACCAGACATCTCCATAGAAAACGAAGGAAATACTAAAGACTGCTGCTGCCCGAAGCTTTGGGAGATTAGCATATGTGCCGCACAATGAGCAAACGACCGCCAAGTTCCAGATCGGATTCATGGCCATCTGGTGGAAGGTGATCATGTCGGAGTGGCTCGTTGTTTTGAAGGAACGCTGACGCCTCCATCGTTGGCGACCCAGGTAGAGGACGAAGGTGCTAACAGGCAGGAGGAGGATCATTCTTAAGACCATGATGGAGTTGCCGATGTGAAAGCTAACCGTGGTGTTGGCACAGAAGCTGCTAGAGTTGGATGTGGAAGAGGAGTTAGCTGCCATATCTTCTGTATGTCTTCTGTATTGGTCTGAGGAGAAAAGAAAAAAACGAGAAGAATAAGGAGATACGAGCTGGCAATTCCCAATTAAATATTCCTTTTCATATTTGACATGTTGCTCGTTAGCATTATGTTTGTGGTGTTGTCCGTCCGCCTGTGCTCTCTTTATGAAGGGGATTTCTTAAGAACTTCCTCGAGGAACTATTTCAAATTTGGCACAAAAATCCACTTGATCTAAAGCAGGGGTCGGCAACAGGCGGACCGCGGTCCGGATCCGGACCCAGACGCCGACCTATACGGACCCGGACCTATAATCAATACATTAATAGGGGATTTCAATTTTGACGGGGCGATTCTATTTTAACCGCTGCCGACAGGGGGCGAAAGAGACGAGTGAGCGATACAGGGAGAGAAACACAGAAGAAGAGATGAGAGAGCGATACAGGGAGAGAAACACAGAAGAAGAGATGAGAGAGCGGCAGAGAGAAGCGGAGAGGAAAGTGAGTAAAGAGAATAATTATCGATACAGGCAGAGAAGACGGAGAGGAGAGTGAACAGGCGTGTTAGCGGCAGACAGGGAGAGACAAATAATTACACATGGCGCTCTCCAAGAAGAGGAAAGTGGACAGTGAGAACAGAGCTTTTAACCCTGAGTGGACTCATTCATGTTCATACTGCCCACTGGGAGCACAGAACCAGTGTGTCTCATTTGTTCATTGACCGTGGCGCTCAAGCAGAATACAAAAATCAAGTAACTGTATTCAGCTCGCGTTATATATTTGAAAAACGAGTAATCTGATTACAGTTACTTTCGTAAACCTGAAGTGAATACATTTTGGAATACTTATGGGAATTATTGGTGGAAAAGTTTCCTCATAAAATGTAATAGTCATTACCAGCAGAACTGTGTGCACACTGCACAGCGCTGCAGCGTGTCTGTGAGCGAGAGAGAGATGCAGCGTGTCTGTGAGGCCCCGCCCCCGTATGCAGATCAGAGAGAGAGATCTCTTTTAAAATATATTGAAAGTTAGAAACGGAGATGGTTCGATAAAATGTGCAAGATAACGTTTATGTAGCATTTCTTTATTGTCGAAATGATGACATTTCATAACGGGATCAAATCAAAGTGAATGGCCTGCTGCTGCTGAATGCATGGGGCAAGTGACTGGAAACAGTTTTAAAAGTTATTACGTTGTTTCAGATAATAAATAATAATGATAATTCATTCTATTTAGGGGCGCCTTTCAAAGCACCCAAGGACACCTGACATTTCATAACATATTCTAAGGAAAGGTTTAAGAGAGTACAAATAATGCAGTCCGGGTGATGTTTTTTATGTGGGGTGCAGATGAGAGGGAGCTGTCCAGAATGACACAAAGATGTTGTGTTTGAGTTGTGCTCTTGATAAGCCATTAAAACAGTAAAATAAGTGTCTCCTGTTCACCAAAACATATCCATCTGTTATGGAAAAATAAAGTATTCCAAAAGTATTCTAAAAGTAATCTGAATACGTTACTTTTTTAAGACACGTAACTGTAACTGTATTCGGATTACTTTCAGAGCCATGTATTCAGTATTCAGTAACCGATTACATTTACAAAGTAACCCTCCCAACCCTGATTAAAAGTGCGAAAACGCCACTATGAGACAAAACACAAAGTGTTTGACCAAACATTCCCTCTCAAGTCAGAACTGAGGTCACAAAAAATAAGCAGTCTCAGAGCCCAATATGATCAGTCCACCAGGATCAAAATTAAAACTAAATATGGTTCCAGGGCAGGCTAACCGAGGCTAACCAATGAGCACCTGCATGTGTGTATGAGAATGGCCCTGACACCATTTCAGCCCAGATTTAAACTCCTGGCAGGACAAGCTCAAGCTCAATTCTCGCACTGAATTAAAGAAAAGTGAGTGAGGGACTGCAATATAAGAGGGAAAGAAAGAGAAACTTTAAAACTGTTCAATTGTTATGATGTGTAAAGACTGATATTGTTCTATAATCGTCTGAAACTGTTAAGTCATGATGTGAAACGGTTAACAAAGCTATTTTATTTATTTCTCTATTTTATTTTTAAATGCAGCCCGAGAGGAACATTACACATATCCACAGTATTTACTGTATATCTGTATAGTTCAATGTTCATTGACAATAAATATTGTTGTTTTTGAATTGTACTTTCTTTATTTGATTGGCAGTCAGTTGTTGATTACATGCAGACGTTGATAAAGCTACAGGCTACTTCAATATCACACTAATTCATAAAGCAAGTTAGACATTTTGATGTTCCGGACCTTTGCATGGGGACATTTTCTCTAACTGGACCTCGTTGAATTTTAGTTGAATACCCCTGATTTAAAGGATGAACTGATCAGTGATGACATCTTGTACAGCAACTTTACTTTTCTGGCAGAAACATCCAACTGCAACAAGTTATTTCAAATGATTTCAAGTTGGTTACTTACCAATGGAGAAAAAACAGAGACCAATTCGTGATGTCTTTAATATTAACTGATTAATTAATTAAAGGACACTCACCTTGTTCAGTAGGGTTTCTGATTGTCCTTATCCCGTGTCTCCAAACTCACGGTACTGTTGAGGAGGCACGAGTGTACAAAAAAGAATCGAGTCAAAGTAATTAAGCATTATAGCTTTTAGACTGAGATATATTATTTTCATATTTCCA